CCCCCCCATCCCCAAAAGTTTCTCAGCGGATTTGGGCTGTACTCAGCAAGCGCAGTACAGCCCCCAACTCAGATTTGAAAAAAAATCAGCGGATGGTTGTTTTCTGACTGGTCGGCAGACCACCGACCGGTCGGCCCTACTGGTCGGGCTGCAATACGGTCGGCGGTCGGCTGGGATGCAACCCTGCTTTCCAGTGTGAATGGACAGTCAGGTCTAGAGGCACACAGGGAGGACCGTCAACCATATCCATTTTCTTTCACAGACAAAGAAACAATAATCACTTCATATTCCAAAAAAAAAACTCTAATGTAGTGCAACCTGCCCTTCATCCATGATTGTTTTTTCTGCAGATGCTTTTGTAAACAGAGACTTGTCTTTTTTCTCCAGATGCTTTTGTCAACAGAGACGGAACCCCGTTAGTAGTGCCACCCTTGCAGCAAGTAGGCGAAACCTGACTGCGGTCTCTGTATGCACCAGTGGCAGCATTCCTAGACCCACAACATCCAGCTCACTTAATCAGTTTCAGAAAGGACTGCCTGAAGTCAGGAGATTTACAAGTTAGCATGCAAGAATGTGCATTCCAGGAGAAATGCAAATGGGCATTAGCTGTCTTGATACTCACGTAAAATATGACTGAATATGCCCAAGGCACTCCCTGGGAAAAGTGCAATGAGACCACCATGCATAGCACACTCAGACACAAGTTCCATATCACACTGTGCTCACATGAGACACACGACGTCCAAGAGAGGTGCTGAAATCAACTCAAACTTCGTCACCAGTGGCTATGTCCGCTCAACTCAGCATGCAGGTAAGTCTCTCTCTCTTCTCACTGCTTGCTCTCGCTCTCACCTCACAGTCCTCGCTCGTCTCTCAGAATGTCTCCCTCTCTCTCTCACTACAACTATGGCTCTGGCGCCCAACCCCGTTCACTACACTGCACTACACTCACTCTCACTAACTTGGTCGCCTCCCCAACGCTTCCACATTGAGTGCCCAACACATTGTGTTGAAGTCCAGGAGCTGCTAAACTCTTATACATCCGCCTTCCAGGCATCTTCTGCTGGTTATGGGTTGGCTCCCCTTTCCTTTGTTTGCTGCTTCCGGAAGCTTATAGATTCTCCTTAGATCTGGCTGCTTGGTCGGACTGACTGACACCTGGCCTAACGACCTCTGTGTCCTTGGCTGAGGTTCATGGTGCCTTCTTAACATAGACTCTTTAACCCATAACTATTATCTAACAGGAACTTCCTACCACAATCTACTTAAGCAGCCTGCCTAGGCTTCCAAAGTCCTTGTACAAATGAGAGCAACTCTTCTAGAGGACTCGTGAATATTGTACAAGTGGCTGGAATTGCTAATGGAACTCGGAACGGGACTTGGGACTAGGATCTGGGGCTTGGGACTCGGACCTGGGACTGGGACCTGCGACTTGGAACTGGGACCTGGGACTCGAGACTCTGTGAATCCTTTCGAAAGGGGAAAGAGTTGAAAAAGAAAGGAGCAGATGACAACGGTGATGACGAGGAATTGAGAGAGAGAGAGAGAGAGAGAGAGAGAGAGAGAGAGAGAGAGAGAGAGAGAGAGAGAGAGAGAGAGAGAGAGAGAACTGCTTGATAGGAGAAATATGTGTTGTGCCGTACACGGACATTGCGGGCCTGATTCTCGTTCCTTTGTTGTCCTCCTCCTCCCTCCTCTTCCACTTCCCCTTCCCCTTCCTCCCCTTCGCTCAGCTTCGTCTTCTGTCTCAAACTCTTTCTCCTCTTTCGCCCTCCTCATTCTTCTTCACCTTCCTTGCTTGTAAACCAACATCAACGGCATTATATGGAGTGCATGTGGCATTCCAGCTGCAAAGCATTCTCATGAACAAGTATAAAGCACATGACCTGCCTTTAAAAACGCAAATATGAGACTACATGAGGTGAACCAAAAACACGTGTACCTTTTTTTTGTGCAAGAGGGCATTGCGAGGAATGAGCCCTCGCGGGGCCCTTATCAGACATACAAGTGCTATGGGCTGCGGCCCCTTAGCAAGCCTGCGCCCGGCCTAAGTGAAGGCGGGCCTGACTATCCACGAGAGGCCTGTTTCCAACATTTTTCCATAAGTGGGGATTCAGACAGTTGCAGCACGCCAGTTGGTTACAGAGCAACGTGAGCCTCCAGGCTCTTTCCAGAAGCAAGGACTGCACTGTACAGTTGAGCCCAGGGCTCAGGTGGTTGCGCCCTGGGCATACGTTGTGTGAGGCCGGCACATCATGGACTGGCCGCGGGCCAATGAGACAGCAGCATTGTCGTCACACATGAGCTGGGAGCCAATGGGAATGCTGCGAACACTTGGAGGCTGGGTGGCTACCTGAACGTGCGTAACTGCACGAGGCCCAGGCCAGTATCAAAAACTGGGCCTGGGCGCAGACACCTGGGGCCAGAGGCAAGCTACTGTGCCCCCCACACGCCTGGCCAGGCCAGCCAGCAGTGGGCACACTTTCCATAAAGGAAAGTGTGTGGCCTGTGCAGGCATTGCGGCCACGCTGCTGCATTGTCGTGCAAAGCTGCGCTTTGCAGGCAGGCTGCGGCACGCACGAGCGCTAAGTGGTGAACAGGGCACTACTGTGGCAGTGGGCGCACGGCGGCCATAGCCGGGCCGAGCGTGCGGGTGCAGGTGGTGGCGATGGTGGTCTTCGGGTAGGAGGCACATACAGAAGGGGAGTCGAGGCGAGATGAGGGGAGGAGAGAGCACATACCTGGTGTATGCTGGCGGTCAGCATTGGCGATGACGTCAACGTACCTTGGTCTTCAACTGCGATGTGATCTGGTTGTGAGAACGTAGATAGGCTAGATAGGCTGAGTTGAGTAGGCTGGGCACCGAGCGCCAGACAGTAGGGGTGGACAGTGGAAACTGTGTTGGTGTGACCAGAGTGTGGCGACATCGACACAAGAGTTCATTGTATTGCTCTTATTTGCATGGTATCTTGGTGGATTGTGCTCTCTTCTTGGTACACGACTATCTGAGCTACTTCGTGATTTTTTGCAACTTGGTTTTCTGTCCATCGCTCCCGCTCGTAATCCTGGCAGAATGCTGTTAAATGGAAAAAGGAAACGAGCATTCACACCCCCATTTAGTAACCATTCCCAGAAGGAAGTTGCAGGGGAATATGACTGTCAACAACAAATGCCAAGTATCAACGATGAAACAGAAAGGAGCAAATCAAATCACGCGTTGCTCTTAACCCTGCCCCTCGTTCCTACTTGTGTGGACTGCAACTGTGGATCAATGACTGCCTCAGAGCAGAACAGCAGTATCTCACCTGACACCCTTGCACCCCTTAGGACATTCATTTCTGAGAAAGGCCTCCCACTCACAGTAGCTAAGGCTGTGGACGCCGATGACGATAGTGACGATGATATTCTATCATCACTCATACCCTCTGTTAACCATTTTAGCTGTGAGGTCATGTGTACGCACTTCTCATCCATTCTCTCCTTTTCTGCCTTCATCAAACTTGCCTGAGCATTGGGGCCTGCATTCGACAAGAGCCATCAAACAAACACAGGAGGTGCTAAGTATTGAATTCTACTCTGTTCTACAATTGCCATCCCTCCACCCTTGAAAGAAAGAAGTGGAAAGTTGGAACCGGACTTCTCCGTACATAACTGTGTATGCACTACTGTGGCAGCTTGTTTTCACAATTTGTCAGTTCTTCAGCCTGTTGCTAAAGGGAGGCAATGAGGACAGCTGAAAGCAATACAGTGGGACTCTGTTTCTAAGTGAGCGGTGAAAAGATGGAAGAGAGATAAGAGTGCCGTTAGAGAGGAGAGAGAGAAACAAGTAACAAGAGAGAGATACGGGAGAGGACAAGAAAGAGACCAGAGGGATAAGAGAGATACGGCAGAGATAAGACTAATATGACTGAGGTGAGGGTGAGATGAGAGTAAGATGAGAGAGAGAGAGAGAGAGAGAGAGAGAGAGAGAGAGAGAGAGAGAGAGAGAG